GTAATACCAAAAAGAATACAATACTATATGTATAAATAACTTAGAATTGAAATAAAGAATATTAATATTAATGTTGACAAAACACAATATACATTTAAGTGCCTATCTGGCACCCTTTAAAATTTTAAATTGTTTACTAAAATATCATTTTTCACTATACATTCACATAAACATAACCCAACAAAGTTTCTTTACATTTTAACTACATATTTTTGAAAAAATACTATCCAAGACTCTTTTTGTTTTCAAATAATGGATGACAAACTAGGGCTAAATTTTCTATCGAAAATTTCAAAAAATGTTTTGACTCACCCTAAGTCAAATATAAAAAATTAATTATGACTCCCCTAAATCAAATATAAAAATTATCTAAAATCTCACTCACTCATATACTAACAACTATCTGAAATAAATATAACCCCTTCCTCCCTTTTTGTCATGAATAACATAGGGAAACAAGTAATAGAATTATGCAAAAATATAACAAAGAAGAATGAATGAAAAAAAAATATGTATAAAAATCACATGATAAGGAAAAAAATTTCTTTTTGAGACGATTATTTTTCTTGGGTTTTTAAATATAGCATCATTAAAAATTATTTACTTATACAAGTATAGTTTATAAACAACAAACTTTTCACACATAATTCATTTTAAACCTTGAAGGAGTAATTTGTATAAGTTACCCATATGTGAAAAGCGCCATAATATCCTGAAAGCAAAGTCTACAAACCTTGTATCAATAAGAATAGACAAGAATATGTTCCTTAAAGGAATCACTAGTGAATGAATATATTCTTTAAATTATGAAATATATATATAGACTATATATATATCACTAGTCTATATATATATATATATATATATAGACTCTTCTTCATTAAACTTTTTACATGACCCTTGTAACGAGTTTTACGCTAGTAATTCCAAAATCAGATGATTTACAAAACATTAGGTATTAGGATACCTGTAGGCTTAATCATTCAAGTCATTAGCTACGAAAAAAGTATAAGATTGTCATTTTATGTAAATCAAATATTTTTCTTGAAAACTCAATAATAATCTTCCTTTTAAGAGGAATTTTCCAAAGATTAAGTCAACTAATTAAAGGACATTTTATACTTAAAGTCAACCTATCACACAAATAATCGCCTTCCCAAATCTTATACATGTAGTCAAAACACACTAGAGATGGCAAAAATGCTCGAAGGCTTGGGCCGCCTGTGACCCAACCCGCAAAAAGCTCGAGCCGAGCCCCATCTTGGGGTGCCAAGCCGAGCCCGAGCTGGCTCGAAAAAAAAAAAAAAAAAACTAAGGCAGCTACAGCTACCAGTTGCCTTTTAAATGAGAAAAAAAAAGAGGAGAAAAAGAGGGAAAAAAAGCAGTCGTCTCGGCTCGAACCGTTTTGGTTCGGTAAGGCTCGAGCCTCAATTTTCGAGCCCGAGCCGGGGCAAAAAAAAAAAAAAAAAAAACTAAGGCAGCTACAGCTACCAGTTGCCTTTTAAATGAGAAAAAAAAAGAGGAGAAAAAGAGGGAAAAAAAGCAGTCGTCTCGGCTCGAACCGTTTTGGTTCGGTAAGGCTCGAGCCTCAATTTTTTGGCCGAGCTTTTGCTCAGCTCGACTTGGGCCAAAAAAAGCCTGTCTTCAAAAAGCTCGAACCGAGCCCAAGTCTTGATTTTTGGCTCGCGAGCAGGCTCGACTGAGCTCGTTGCCACACCTAAAACACGCTCACATGAACTTAATATGTGTAGAGCAATAATACATACAATAACCTATACCAAGTACTCTAAATAATTTCTAAATAAAGTTAATGAAAACTGTATTTACATACATTAATTATGTTAGTACTTGATCATAAATTAATATGTTCAAAAAAATATTAATAGAAAAAAATCATCTTGACTTTCTCAATTTTCTTCTTCAAATTTTCATTTTTCATAAACAATAACGCAAAACAAATAAAAAGGAAAAAAATATATATATAGAGCACATACATGAATATGTAGATATAGTGGATAAAGCAGATGCATGCACCTAAACTCTTAATTAATGAGGCACAGAAAAGCTCTTATCATGAAGAGAATGGGAGCAATATCACAACTAATATCATCACTTTGATCTATGAATTCACTTTTTTTGATTCAAACCTTCTTAGATGAAGATGTAATCTTAGTCAATGGGTAATTTAATTAACTCAATCAAATGACTCGATTAGTCAAGAATCTAACATGATTTATTAGATTTTGTTTGTCATTCCTAATCAAGTACTTACAGTACTTAGGTCTAATGCGATCTAACTCACATAATTGTGACAAGTAGGAACAAATTTAGGAGCAAACCCAGGCTTCAAATTTTGAACCTTAGGTAGAGGAAACCTACGTTGTACATATAATTTCAGTCCTTGAGCACCTACATTCTCAATTTTGTTCCTACTTAATTCACGACATTTAAGTCTTATGTCTCCTAACTTACCACAATGATAACTTGTGGGGATAAACCTAGAATTACCTCTAGGTTCCAATTTTTGTACTTTAGGCTTGATTGAGCCAGGTACACAATTATTATGAGTAGAGGAAGCAGTATGCGTTTGTTTCATTATTACCTAAATCTCCTCTATTCCAAACTATCTTGTACAAACCTGTCATTTTATTAATCTTCTTAGATCTATTAGAATAAGATTGAAGTTGGACATTTTATTTTTCAAGATCATTTATAAGAGTTTTATCCTTAATTTATAAAAATTCTTTCTCGGCCCTTGATCATTCAATCCTTTGATAGACTCATCAAGTTTAGCTATAAGGCTCTCTTTTTCTAATTTATAGAAATTTTAGATATTTACGCATATCCTAAAGGAAGGTAAGCCTCTCAATAAGCGTTTATTTAAAGTTATTAGCTTGACTTTTCATTTTAAGGCATTTTAAATGGGACTTTAGAGGCCTTACTTCGCTAGCGTCGATAGGCTTTCTACCATTTTTCGTTTATCAACCAAAACTGACTTTTCTCTTCTCATAAAAATATGACTTTGACTTTAATTTCAGATTTGAACTTAACTATGAAAACTTCAACTTCTTCATTGTCCTTGATCACAAAATCAACTTTAGAGCAATAAATGGAGTCGAATGACTCATTGATGATAGTTCAACTTCATTAAATGTCACTTACGTTTTGCTTCTTTAGGATCAACTCCTCATTCTCCATACGATTTTCTTCTTTGGTTCGTACTTCCTCTAGTTGGATGATTGACCTACTATCCAAAATCATATGCAAATTGCACCTGACTCCTTAATTTGGCTACTACATCTTCCCATTTTCTTAGGATGTTGTACAAAGTGTAGTTCGAGTGATTTTATTATTTCGAATTGTAGCCCCTATTTGACCCTCATTCTTTGAACAAATATATTTTTAAACAGTATTTTGATATCATTTCAACCACACATTCTTCAAAAAAAAAAAAAATATATTACACGCAAATTTAAAATTTTTCCTTATTTTTTAACTACATATTTTCCATCAATACGCTATTCAAAAATTCATTCTTGTAAAAAGAATGAGGCTCAAACAAGGACGTAAGCATGAGAATAGGGGCAAAATTTTCATATAACTAGTGGTTTCTATTTCTTCCATGAGAAAGTCATCCTTTTTAACGATTAGTGGAGGAAAAATAATCTCATGAACAAGTTATCCTCTTCAATTTCAGGGAAGAAATCTCATACAAACATGTTGTCCACATCAATTGTCATGAATGAAATCTTCCATATCTTTTGATTTTTGTTCCTTTGCTTCTCTTTATTCCCTGACAGCAAATTGCAACAAAGACCAATAAATTAGTCACAAAATGGCTGTGCCGAAAATAGAAGGATTTAGGAATTTCGATTTAAGGCGATTTAAGGATCCACGGTTTTGGGGAATTTTGGAACTTTGTGATTGGGTGGGTGTTGGGAAAGGAGATTAAGTTTTTAACTTTTAATTTTATTGTTTTAATTATTTAATGGGTAAATATAAAATTATTATTTTGCCCTCTTTGAAATTGTTAAAAATTTGATCAAATTTAATGTTCTAACTAGCGAAAAAGGGATGGTTTTTATCCATTTGTCCTTTAGCTGCACGTGCTTAAAACGTTTAGGATTACACGTACAAAAATGAAAGGTTAGGATAAAATATGGGGTAATAGTACATGACATTCCCACATTTCATTACTATTCTACAAAACGTTGCTAACTTTCATTTTTTTTGGGCATTTTCACCTCTAATTCCACTTTTGATTGTGCAAAATGTTATTTTCCTCCATTTTCATCAAATTTCTCCACTAAGAAAAGGGTATTTTCATCTTCATACTTTGAGCTCTATAGCTATCTCAAGTCAAGTAAACGAAACAGCTCCAACTTCTTTCTTTTCCCTTCCAACAATAAACAAGACCCAACAAAACTAGAAAAGGGAAGTAAATAGGAAGGAGACTATTTCAAAGTGAGCTTGGTGTGGCTGTAGCACTCAAGCTGCCAAAGAACATAAGAAACTAAATGTTATTTTTCAAATGAAAAAATAGAGGAGAAAATATGTTAAGATGTGAAGAAAAGGAAAAAAAAATGTTATAAGACGAAAATGCCCTTTACTTAATGGAGAATTTTGATGAAAATGCAGAAAAAATGACATTTTACGCAATCAAATGTATAAATAAGAGTGAAAAGGTAAATATGTTTTACACAATAGTAATAAAAATGTTATTGTGTGCTAATTACCCCAAAATATGCAAAGTTTAAAAAGTTTGTAGTCATGATTGCAATTATCCGTGAAGGTTGTTAACATATATCAATGAAATCAAAGAAAAATAATGTCTTTTTGTATTTATATTCAAAATATTTTATTATATGAATGTGTGGCTGAAAATAAATATATGAAAAGAATAGCTTTTAAATAATGGTTATCAAATTTAAATTATTAAAATATATATACTTTTTATAAAAAAAAAAAAATTTGAAAAATTGTTATTCCTCTTTTCATAAAAGAGGAAAAGGGAGACAGAAAATGAACCGGAGGCCAAAACCCTCAGACAAGAAAACCTCCGGCTCATTACCCCCACTCCTCCACAACCACTCTACAACCCACCCAACAATCTACCAGAAGCTTAACAAAATCATCTTTCTCTCTCACAAGAAGACTCTGCAATTTAAGAAAGTTTCTTTAACTACTGTAACGGTGCGTTCACATTTTTTCTATTATTTTATATAACTTATATGAGGTAGTTTTCTATTTCCAATTTTTTTTTTTTTTTCCTGTATTCTTCAATTTTAGCTGATGGGGTGTTTAAAGTTTCAAAACCGATTACGGGTTTGCAGTTTTGCTTCTTCTTGTTGTTACGAAAATCTTGGAACAAAATAAAAAAGTAATAATAACAATAACAATAACTACACGTGCTGTTAATTAATAATGAATGGAACCTGGGGTTCAAAATTGAAGCTATCCTATTATTAAAGCTATCAAGTGCAATTCCAACGCTTGTCTTTTTATTTATGTTATTTGATGGAGTAATAATTTGAGGCAAAATTTAGGTTTTAGATTATGAAAGAGAAGAATGCAGGTTGTTTTGGGGGTTAAATTAGAAGAGCTTTGCTTAATTAAGTTTAAAATTTGAACTTTTTAGTTTAGTTTGATAACTTTTCCCTTATCACTGGAGAAGTAACATAATTTGTCGGTTAAAAGTCTAAAGTAATGTATTGGACTGAAGAAGAGTAAAATTAAATAGAGATCGTCTCTGTTTTTTATTTTGTCTTGTTAGAGTTTGGATGTGCTGATAGCTAGCCAAAAAAAAAGAAAAAGAAAAAGAAAAAGAAAAAAAAAAAGAAAAGTCAAATCTTTGGTTTCAGAAAATCTGGGGAATAGGGGGAAAAGGACTCTGGAATGAACAATTTGTATCATGCATGTTCGTCGGCTATATTATGGAGTTCTAGCCTTTTTGTCATGAAGAGTCCAATTGGCAGATTTTATGCTTCTTCATGGAAAAAAAGCTTTCAACATGCAGGTGTTAGGACTGCTAATTCAGAACTTTTATTGACGAGATTTTGGGTTCAGCGCTACTCATTGAAAAGGTCCAGAAAGAGAAATCTTGATCCTAAACCGGTAATGAAGGACGACAAGGAATCATTCTTTGTTGTTCGGAAAGGAGATCTTGTTGGTGTTTACAAGAATTTAAGCGATTGTCAGGCTCAAGTTGGATCCTCGGTAATCATGAATCTCTAAATTTTCTTCTTCTTTAATTTTCTCTTATATATTGATGTTCTCTTCTTGGTGATTCATAAATGCTTTTTCTTTTTATTTTATCATTGGGGGCCATTAGTAGCTGTTCTCTTTATTTATTTTTCACTTCTACGATTGAGATGAGTTCTAATTGTCTGGAAACAGGGTGCAAAATGTTTTACGTAGCATTGTGGGTTCTTTCTTTCTTTTTTATTTATTAATTTTTTTTTTAATATTTTCTGGTGTAGCAATTAAAAAAAATAGTAGAATGGTTAAGAATTTTATTGTTTTCCTCCCTTCTGCTGGTTCAGAATTGCATAAATGAAAAAAAGGGAGAGTGCTTGTGAATTTTTTGCTGCATTTTTTTAAGCTTCAGAGTTCTCATCACTTGCACATAATTTGAAGTCTTCAACATAATTTTGTGTACTAGAAACTTCCTTCAACTTTCACATAATATGTAAATGCTCTTGTATGGTCATGTTATTCGCACAACATAACATTTTCAAGTGGAAACAATGTTTAGCTATGCTACAATTTTTGTCTAATTTGATTTTTTTATTTTCATTCGATGAGTGATATTATATATATATATATTAAAGCCTAGTCTATAATGGAACTCCTACAGTGTAGAGAATACTCCCTCCAATACCTCTACCAGTTGACTATGCTTCACGTTTCATTTTGAGATTTTGGGTCTCTTAAGATAAGACTATTGTTCAGTGACCTAATTAACAAGGCGTATCATTTCAAATTTTTGTTAGCATTTGCATTTTTTGACTATTGTCTTGTCATGATTTGTCCATTGGGAGCTGGAGATCTTAAATGAAAAGACATGCAGCTACTTTGATATGTGTTTCTTGTTTTCGTTTTCCTTCTTCTGAACACTTTTTTTTTTCCCTTCACTAAGAATATATACAAATACAGTGGATTAGTAAATTAATATGGCCTTTTTCTTTCCTCGTAGATATGTGATCCTCCTGTCAGTGTATACAAAGGTTGTTCCATGCCCAAGGACACAGAGAAATATCTTCTCTCGTGTGGGATTAGGAATGCACTTTACTCCATCAGAGCTTCCGATCTTACTGGAGATATTTTTGGCACTCTTGTACCATGCCCCTTTCCGGTTAGTTGATCTTTTTACAACTGCGATAAAACATTCTTTTGGAATACATCTGATTAAAAATTTGTGAAAAATGGTTTGTGTATGCAGTTGGATGCGAAATTCATTTATCTTTTTTTGCGTTTTTGGCATTCTCTGAAGGCATCAACATTACATATATTTTTTCAGTTTCTTTATCTCAATCATGAATCATCCTTATAATTATTCTGTCAAAAAATTGTTAGCAGAAAGATATAAAAATGAGAAGAAATTGATCTCCTCTTATATTTACTCAACCTCTAGGAGTGATATTCTGTTGGCTGGCTTGTTTATAATGCTCTGTTTGTCACTTCCATTGTGGAAAATAACAAACTGAAATATTGGCTAGCATTCTCATAATATATGTTGTGGTATTAGCGAATAATGCTGTGACTAGATTTACAAGCTCAGGCGATCTTGTTGAGTTTTGCAAAAAATAAAAGACTACAAAGGAAAAATTTACATGGTCAAGTGCATTTTGGTTTTGATCTAGTTACCAAAATATTTTCTTGTTGACTAACATTTATATTTCTTACAGCAACATCCTTCTGCTAGAGGTGAGCCATCTGGTGAGACTATGACAAAGAAATGGTCACAGGAAGTTGCGTGGTCAGATTATGGGGTAAGTTGTATATTCAGTTCTACATTTCATTGCAGTTAATGAGACAAATCTTTCTACTGAATATATACGGATGCATCTGAAATGTAATTTCCAGTTTGTACCTAATAATGAAGTCTATTTCCTTATACATGCCAAGAATGGAGATAAAAACTGCTTCCTCGAAATATGTAAGCAAAAAGTGCAAAATGAGAAGGGCATCGATAAAAATGTTGGCACTCCTTTTATATCGATAAAATTTGTTGACACATGCACTGACTGAGTACTGACTGTGACATACTTAAACTAGAAGTTTGATTGTGCTGTATAGTGCGTGTATATATACAATGTTATTTGAACAGTCCAATTTCAAATACAATATGTTGTTTTCTGTAACATGGACTGCTGAAGCTATAGAAGTCAACTCAAACGTTAGATTTTGTACCCTACAAGGATGCATTTTGCACAAATAAAAGGTTACACATGAGTTTCTCTTCATGTTACTTTGCAGGAAGTTGATGGATGAACATTTATTTCAAATGATGTTTCAAGAAAGCATAAGTTTGTTCCTTTTAAAGTCGACTGGATTACATAAATGGATAGAAGCGGGGGGATGTTTTTCGATAATTGTGAAGATCCTGCTTTCTTTGTTTTTATTAGTTAACAAGTGTCAAAATTTTCTGCATATGATAGTCATCCAAGACAAAGAAAACTAATTTTAACTGGATTATAGGTGAAAACCAAACTCTTAATAGAATCCCATCAGATTCGTGTAATAATTATCTTAGAGAGATGTTTTATGATTTTGTGGTGCTGAAAACCTGATGCATGTAATCACGAGCAGCAGCGGACTTGTACTCTTGAGTTTGATGGTGCTTCAAAAGGAAATCCTGGTCAAGCTGGTGCAGGAGCTGTAATACGATCAAATGATGGATGTATGGTAAATATTGTTCTTCTTTCAGGGTCATATATTTTTTTGACATTATTCATATCTCTAACTATTTTAATTTCCTAGATTTGTAGGTTACGTGAGGGGTTAGGCATAGCAACCAATAATGCTGCTGAATACCGAGGCATCATATTAGGGTTAAAATATGCACTTGGAAAAGGATTTACAGGCATTCAAGTTCGCGGTGATTCCAACCTTGTTTGCATGCAGGTATATACATTTCTTTTTTGCATATATAAAAAACGGGGTGAAAATTGATTTTATTGCTTATATTTTCTCATATAATTTCCACTTTTCCTCTCAATAATAGAGTGAAATACATGTTATCTTTTGTATTAAGCTATGTTTGAGCCCCATTTTTTGGGAAATAAATTTTGTAATTGTGATTTTTTAATTTTTTATTTTTTTGAAAAATGTGTTGTTAAATAGGGGGGAAATGTTTTGGGTTTACGCGTACGATTACTATACTAGAAGAATGCATAGTTGAAAATGAGTTTTAGAGAATGGGGCTCAAACAAGAGCTTAAGCTTGACCTCTAAATTATTTAATTTTTACCATTTTCTGTCCATTTTTACGAGGAAATGAAGTTTTATGTTTCCTCCTACTGATTGAGGAAAATTAGTGTATATGTACTTATTATGAAAAAATGGGAAATTTCCCTTTTATTGATTCCTTATATATGTAACCACAATTTGTGTCATGAAAATTTTGAAATTCTCATTCCACCTTTTCGTGCATTGTAATTGCTTTACTTTCTGCACTTTGTGGGCTATAGACATTAGTCACAATGTCGTTTCATCATATGCTGAAGAATGGACTTAAGAAGGCAAATATTTCATAGACGTGATTTCAAGCACTTGCATATTTCTATTTTAGCTCACAATCCCAGAAATATTAAATATAATTCCATAATATCACAACTTATTTGACTTCCTCAAACATTATCCTTGTGAGACTGGTGAGCCTGTTGTCATGTAATAACTCTATCTTTTACTGCTGTTATTTTGTAAATTGTTATCTTGTCTACCTTCCCTTGTGAAGCTTATGTTCTGAAGAATATTTCATGAACAGATTCAGGGTTTATGGAAGGTAAAAAATCAAAACATCTCCGGCTTGTACGAAGAGGCGAAGAAATTGAAGGATAGGTTTGTCTCATTCGAGATTAATCATGTCCTAAGGGTAAGTTCAGTCATATAATATCCTCCATACGATGTACATCAATCCATGACATGCTCTATTTGTTTAATTGACCTAAAACCTTTTGTTTCTCGCAATCTTTACTTGCTCATGCATTGAGCTTATTGATCTTTTTAACAATAATCTGCTATCTATATATTCTTGAAGGATTTAAACTCGGAGGCCGATGCTCAGGCTAACTTGGCTGTTGACCTTGCCGGTAAGTGCTGTTGCCTTTACTGCAACTCTTTAAGTTCTATCTATTAGTTTATGGGTTTAAAAGATACAATTAGTGGCTTAACTTGTAGTGAATCTTCAAGTTAGTCACCAAACTCTATTTTTTTATTTTTTATTTTTTCCTAAGATTTCTTAGAGCCTGTTTGTCTCCCCATTAATGAAGAAAATGTAGGTTTTGAATAGTATTTTTTTTGAAGAATGTGTGGTTAAAATTTAAAGAAACTTTATTGGTTTGTTTGTAAAATATTTTATTGTGTGAATGTACAGTGGAGAATGTTAATGTAACAATCAATTTAATTTATTAAAGGATGACAAACAGTGCCTTAGTGATCACATAGGACATTGCATTAGAAAATTTAACAAATTTTAACTGAGTGACCAAACTGAAGCAAAAGACAATCAGTTAAGAGGGCATTGCGAGACAAAGGTTGATCCAAAAGAAAACTTGGCCCAGTCTCAACATGAACCTCACCCCATTAACCTGCTTTCTGAATCTTGCAGAGGGTCAAATTCAGGAGGAGATTGATAAATAGCCCCAAGAGAAGGCCAATGAAAATAAATATGTAGCAGTAGTCATGGACCTCCAGTCATGGAGATTTTACTTTGTTAAAACACAATTTTTTGTGAAACATGGCTCTCAGGGCATTACCTCTAACTTGTACTATGGAAGTTTCCATCATTGTTGTTTAGTTTCTAGGTCGAGTCTTACTTTGTGTTACTGTTACGACTGAGTTTGATTCGTGAATCATGAATCCTAAGCTTATTCTACAATCTCTTTAACACTAGAATATAAACTATTTCCCGCAAAGTTTGGGGTTTACCTTTAATTTGGCCACCTGTATTAGATGCATAATTTATAGTGCATATTGCAGACAATGTAATGAATAATGTTATTTGTCATTATGATGGATCATCATATTTAACACTGAATGATATATCCAATAACACGAGTTCCATATATATTTAATTGGATATATCGTTTCATGTCATTGTACTGCAACCGAGTGTGATGATCCATCATCGTTGTGACAAATAGCATTATTACAATGCAATTCATGCATTTTTTTTTTTTTTAATCGTCAAATCAACAGTTGGGCTCGGACATATGGTGTAAGTTTGCCTTTTTGGTAAGAAATAGGTGGAAAGTTTTCGGTACATGACTTTCTGTTTCTTTGGGGCGTCTTTTTGTATGATAAATGACAGTTTTTTCATTAGTTTCTCATGCGGAATTGTAGTTCATATTCTTTAAATGATCGGATTACATTTTTTATTTTATTTTATTATTATTATTTTTGGCAATGCGTTGCTCAGAATAGTGGACTGAGGGGAAAAATGAAGCATAACATATTGATTTTGGGTCGACATTATTTAAAAGAATAATGCTAATCTAGCACTATGCATGCTAGACAACCAGCCTAGGAAGTGTTATATAATAGGCTTAATAAAAGATAAATTATGCGAATCATATTTTTTTATTTAATGTCGCATCAATTGTTAACAATAATGGTGTTAAATAGCAGTACTCTATTTAAAATGTCTGGTGAAAACCAGAAATACGATTCAATTTGTTGCCGGACGTCTATATTTCTCTGAGGGATATTTTAAATGTCTTACAAAATGAATGAAGTAATTCATGGATTATGAGATCATTTACTCAGTTTTTGCATGTGGTTCAATTTTCTCAACATCGTGAAGAATTCTTAAGAGAGGATGAATGAAAAATATTATGAGGTCAATTCCTCTTGGTTGTTTTGTCACACTCCTAAATTAATATTGATATCTATACACAACCTAGACATAAAATTTTACATATATTTTTTTTTCGAGTTTGTTAACTTCTAATCACCTGTGACATGATCATATAATATATTGAAACGCAAAATCATATCGTCATAATCCAACATATATATTTAGAGCTTATAAATGTCTACAGACCATTTCAAAAGTATACTATATAGGATTTCAAAATATAACCCTATAGATGGCAGCCTACAAAATAACCCTACAGGTCGTCATCCATGTACATCGAACTCTGGAATCCTGTAGGAGCTCCACAGCTAGCCATGCTCTCTATGTATTTCCATGTTTACTTACAATGCAAGAACTATATAAGTCAATGCTTAGTAAGCAAAATCATGCATGTCCTGGACATGAGTAATAACGACATATAACACCATGCCATTTACTTTAAATATCACGATAAAAAGTATCATATTTCAATATTCGTCAAAGTCGACTAGAAATCATTTCACTTGCAATCTTTCATTTCATTGGGCCCTTGACCCACCTACCATGCACCGGATAGAGCTCTGCATAATATCAATATCAATAATCAAATAGCCAGTATGAAATCAACACCGACAAGTGGACCATCCTCTCGTGACCACTAGAGGCCCATCCCCTGACTATCCCTATGATCACCCAAGAAGTCTCCCACCCGGCAGCGCCAATAATCATAATATCACAAGGGCACAGTCGAGTGGTCCGCCCTCCCGTGATCACCAAAGGCCCATCCCCTATCTACCTTTGCAATCACTCAGGAAGTAACACCCGCAGTCTCAAACATATCACATAAGCATGCCTCACATGCCTAGGTGCCCTAGTAGTGGTCAATAAAACATTTATAATGAAACTCACTTTGAAATCATATTTTGCATGCAGGATTTTCAACTATGTTACATGTCGTGCATGCATATGAAAATACTCATAAATGACGTATTTAATAAAAATCGGTGTCAATAGGTTACGCAACCTCATACTCAATGATCATAACCACCATATGATGTGCTATAAGCCTCTTATCAAAGTTATGTAGATATTTCAACATTACTATGTTACATATACTAGGTTCTTGCATCGTAGTTGCAAATGGATTTTCACTTACCTTTCGCCTTTATGTGTGTAAGCTCCTATGGAGTGTGTATCAATTCCCTTTTTCGCTCAACGTCGAAAAGTCGCCCGTATTATCATCTAATATTAAATACAATCATCCATTTAATAATCTTAACACACACAATCCCAAAATACGTCCATTCACTCCAAAACAATTTAGACAAAATCATTATTTCAAGTTACCGATGGCATTACACACTAATCCCATAAGTCTCGCTATCTCTCGAGTCCAATTATGAACGTCAACGTCATCCAATTGTTTTCGACAACCTATTATTCCTTAGGATATATTTTCTAGGCCTAAGAGTTCATTAGGGGACATCTAAATGTTGAAATCACATTAAATACCCAAATGGACAGAATCTGTTTTCTAGGTTTCCATCACCGTCCACTCATTTTTCAAATTCTTTTTCTTGTCCTTACCTACATTTAACGGCTCCCAAACTTTTACCACACACCTATAACATATATGTGAAGATAATCAAATCATAACGTTGTGACAAATGCAGTGTTTGGAGCTTCAAAAACAGTCAATTTTTCACTACACAAAATCAGGCAGTTTTTTCCCTTTGACCGTTTTCGGTTTCCATTTTATTATTATGATACCAACAGAATTCTAGGCCATTAAAATCATTTCTACACTCCCTACTTACATATAAAAACGTTCATATTGATATATATAAGTTAAACACTAAGTATCATCCCAAAATCAAGGTATAAATCACTCAATCCAGCAATTCCTCATCTCTGTCCAGATTACTTTCTTTCAAATTCTTGCAATTAATTACCCCTATTTAGGCATCATAACAGCATTAACAACACTCCAACTTAATCACAAACAAGGTCAGATGTTCAAGAAATCATAAACCCCTTAAGAAATAATAGAAACAAACCTCAAAACTGTGGAGTAACAAAGCTGTTCAGAAATTCCAGCTTCTTGTTTCTATTTCTCTTTGACTGTTTCACCCTCTTTTCACTTGGAATCACTTAGGGACGAGTTAAGGGAGTTAATATATTATCTAGGAGGTAAATGAGTGGTCTTTAAATAGTTGAAGTCGTGCATATTACTTAAGGATTAAGAATATCATGGGTTGCAGCCACCTCAAGCAACCAAGGTGAGTCACTAAGCAGGAGCTGTCATTTTGGTTGCAATACTTGACTTTTCTACCATTATTTTTGTGTCCATTTATGATATTTAAGATATATATTCATCCTATATTAAGTCCTTGGGGATTAGACACGAAATTTATGCCTTAAGGTTGAAGCAATTATATATTAAAGTGAAAAGTCCCCTAGCATGAGCTGTCCAAGTAGGAGGTGGCTTCTTGCAGCCAACTTTGACTTCTCCCTTGAACCACATGGAGCCATATGTGACTTAGAAGAGTTACAAATATCTTGTGTAAAGTTCTAAGGACTTATAGGACGTGTTGGAGGCTTAAGGTTGAAGGAATTAGAGGTTAAAGTGGCAAGTCGTCACATGTTAAGTAGGTGTTGTCTCCTTTGATTAAATTCTGATTTTACATCTATCCTTGCAGGTATAAATCAAGTGTCATTGGTTTATTTTGATGTGCTTACAATATATTTCACTTGCATTAAGATCCCAAAGTACTTTATAGATCTAATTCCTCAGCTGTTCATTTAATTTCTTACCCGATTCTCAACCGATTTCAACAATTCGCACCTCAATATTTATAATGTC